CCTCTGACGACGGATCAGACATACCATAAGCAGGAGCCATTTTGCTTTGAATAGCAAATATTACCGTAGACAGAGCATGCGTAAAGGTTACATTTGTGAGGCAATAGCTTTTCATGCGCGCACACTTGGAAGAAACATTCATTCCTGACCGAAATTATTCAACATGTTGAATATCTGGTAATTATGACACGGGTGCCGGAAAGCGCTCAAGCTCTCATTCATTTTGCATTTTATCTAACACAGACATTTGTTTTAATCGATCGTTGTTTTCCAACTTTATACATAACATTCTTCGTCTGCAGATGGCTTGTCTTCTGGTTTTAGTGTGGCATCTTTGATTTCATCCAAGTCCACTCCATGTAGCAAGAAATGTCGGTCAACTTTGTACAAATGCCCGGATGTGCTTCTACAGTAGAAAAACACAGGACTGCGGTCTATGCGTATATTTTGCCGATATCTTAAATAGCTCTTGAGATAATTTGATGCGAACGGTAATAAACTGTAACACGAGTAGGACCGAGAATGACCATAACAGGCTTGCGAACGAAAAATCTTCCGATTGTAGAATGGGATATGCAAATCTATGGGTGTTTTCCATTTACAAAGTAAGCGGAGAATCATCAAAAAAGCATTTTGACATGATGTTGAAATGTGGCAGGTGTACAAACAGCTTGGATATATTCAATAATCAAAAGCAAAAGGGAAAAGGAAGATTTGTCAAAACTTTCTCAAATCTTCGGAGTGAAGTGAAACATCATCTGTATTTCATTGAATAAATTTGACAAATTTCATTGCATAAAGTGTTACTTAAATAATTGACTTCGACTATTTGCCAATATCAACTAGCTTTCATACTGAAAACATTTATGAAAAAATAAAAACCGTTTAGGTCCAAAACGATGTTTTCCATTTGTTTCAACGTAAAAAGCTACTATTCCTGAATTATAAAATCAATAAAAAAACATCATAACAGTTACAAGGTTAGTGGCGGTGGATACTGAAACGTCAAAAATTGACTTTATTTGTTATTTGCAGAATTCAAATACATTTAAGTGTCCACAACAAACACTTATCATAACATCAGACTGTTTCTTGTAGGAAGATACATTGATGATTGTATGCTGGATAGATCATATGCTGGAGTTATCCAATTGTTAACTCGTCTCTGTATTCTGCGATGAGGTCAATCTCCAACGCTCAAAAATCTAAATAATTTTGAGTCGCAGCCATGCATATATTTAACAAAATGCGTATGAGGAACATATAAATTTAATTCATTTAACAAGATGAATGCCATGTATTGCGAGGGATACGTCGCCACTACATAACTTTACATTAGAATTAGCAATATTTTAAGTCCCATTATAAATATTTTAAGTAATCACATCCATTTGCGGAGATTACAATTTTTTACAGTATATATTACATAATTAATTATAAGACTTCATTATCGAGTGAAAAAATGTTTAAATGCAAAGTCATTAAATTTCAAAGCGAGAAAATAAAACTTATGAGTAGATAGTGTAAACAAATCCTGAACAAATGCACGATGTTCTTGATTATTCTTGCAATCTGGTTTAGTTTTCCTGTGATCTATTGACTTTGTGCATCAGAAGAGGAAGTTCAGGAAAACGTTGTAGGAAATACTTTTTATAATTGCCTTGCTTCACATATTGTGATAGATGCGGACGAGGCTTATCTTGCCAATGTTGGTCAACGTTTCGTATGAATCTTAAGCATCCTACCCATGTAGACTCGTACTTTAGAGTTCTTATACTGTCGTTTACTTCAAAGTTGATTAAATCTTTAACGACTTCATCATCAATACGCTTCATCCATTCAGTGGAACCATACAACTGCGTATAAACGTCTGAAGTGGGTGAATTTTGACCTTGTGAGTGTTTCACCTCCAGTTGGTTCCCCATATCACACAGCATGTTAAATTTCTCTTCGTCTGATTTTAGATAAGGGTGTTTTAACGCCTTATCGGCAGATGGCCTGTCTTCAGGTTTTAACTGTAGCATCCACGATAAAAGGTCTTTGAACGTGGCATCCTTGATTTCATTAATCCAACTGGGTTTCCATCAAAATGTTTCCAGTCTATGCAGTTCAGTTCCAAAGGATGTTTTCCTTTGTTGCAACATAATAAGCCACCATTCCGGCATTCTATTTTCAAAAATTGTCATAAACAGTCAGTGGTGGATACTAAAACCTTAAAGATTAAATTTATTTTTTGCAGAACTCAACAATAAATGTGCAGCTTAAAAATCTAAAAATGTTCTCCAAATAAATTGTAGCCATATATATGTATTAAAAGCAATCTAAATAAGGAACATACAATTGTAACTGTAACACATTAACAAAATTAATTTAAAGTACATGAGTGAAACAAAATACAGTTGACTACTCTACTGGCCTTGACCTTGTTTATAGTAAAAACATCAATGCATTTTTCATAAAGAGAAATGTATAAAATCAAATGGTAGCATCATGTAACCTTTAACTTTATTCTTTTGATGCAAAAGTTCAATTTTCTCAGTTGTTTGAGGAGCTAAAATACACAGTTAGAAAAATTTGTATTAATATGAACCAACTTCCTCAACTATACTCAGCTTCGCTTCGGAAGATGACATTGACCTCGGTCTGAATAATTCTTGATGTCATGCTCAACCTCATGCAATAATTGTTTATTCAGACGGAAAATTCCACCTCGTTGAAAATAGCCTTAAATTACATTCATCACAAAAAAATTGCAATTGTCGAATAAAATAAAAGTGCCCTCTTGAAAGAAAATGATTTCATCACTCGTTTACAAGGCCAAACAAGAACAGATTGTAACGAATCGACACTGTACATTGGTATGACGGCCGGATGTTTCGAGAGTTACACCAACCATACTCATCGTCCCAGTAATCTTATAGAAACGGAACTGAGCTATTTAAATACGCATGGCTCAAGGAACGAGACAAACCATTTATAATCTCATGGTTTCTGTAGTAAAGTGCGTATACCCTCAAGATTAGCAGAAAGCAAATTGTATTGTGTATGTTTAGAAGGAACAACTAACATCATGAAGTCAAACCGAAAGTACGAAAGATGCGAGATGTTGGTTAAATGCCTTGATAGGAAGTGCTTTTTGCGCATTTCTGAATATTAATATTTGTATGCTTTTTGTTTTGCAACGTTTTCATGCTTCATGCATCACTTTCAAGCAACGTATAAGTACATGACCATATTAAATAACGTAAAACAGTGTTTGAAGATCACGATTGCAATAATTGTGTTTAAGTGGTGGAAAATAATATAATATTAAATAAATAAATTAGAACTAGTTACAGATACAAAAAAACATTTTGCAGACATCCAACATAAACGTACACATCTACACTCAAATCTACTTCAATGAAAATCAATATGACTATTGTTTAAACGATTCTTGACAATGACAATGAATTTAAACATAGGATGCAAATCTGGCTATACAGATCATAAATACAACGACATTTGCTTTGTGCGATGTACATTTAAAGATTCAACAGATTCAACATAGGTACGTCAATTGCCGTCTAAGAGAACTGTCGACAATGTATAGTCATAACAAAATGTTATTTTCTTTTGAATTTTTCTTTCTTGAAGGGAGCATTTTATCTTTCTCCTCAGATAACTATTTAATATTTTTGCATTATTTATAAGCATTGATATTAAGTATATATTTGAGTATACCAACCTTCATCTAGCTCAGAGCAACCTCCAACAATGAAAAGAAAGTTCACACTCACACTTATAATATACCTGCAATTTATGATTCAATGGATATAGACTTCCTTAAACAACCATAAATATCCATGTACTAAATACATAAGCACCAAGGACAGAATCATATGAATATTTCATAATAACTTTCGCCTTGTTGAAGGAAGAAAATTTATCTTAATATAATCTCTTTGATATCGTGATATCTATACAAATATTCGTCCTTAGTTTATTGCATTAACATAGCTACTAAACTCGACTGATTTCTTTTGCAATACAAAGAATAAAAAGTGTTTTTTCATTTACATATGATACGTCAATACAGAGACAAAAAACTCGTAAAATACTAATTTTGATTAAAGAGCATAAGAGAACGTAAGCAATAAAATATAATACGATTAAAAGCATAGAAAAAGTAACAAAACATATGTTTTTTGTTTAAACAAGACAAGTTCAACGAGTCATGTATAAATCTACATAACTTGTATTATGTTAGATCGTCTGTGATCTTGGTTTTGAAAAAAATTGCACCATTTTTGAAATAGATTTTAAAGTTTGTAAGGGGGGCCAAATTTCCGAAGTGGGACCATATTTACTAGGAAGTATTGCTCCTGTGGAGACAAATTTCTTAGGAAATGTTCATTATTCATAACCATGTACATTGCTGATATTGGAACGTTCAAAACTTTATCGACAAGATAAACACTTTTTGGAGTGTGAGGGTCATACTTTGTCTAACTATAAAAATCCTTACAGTTAATCATAAGCTTTGCACTAACGTTAACAGCTTGGGGGGGCTGGGAGAGCTGAAGCCTCACTTTTTGCAAAAAATATATTTAGACTGAGATAAAGTCGTTGTTGAGAGGTGTTTTTTGAGACGCCAGAGTAGAATTGAAGACTTAGCCTCGCACTTCATAATGTTGCTTCGCCGTTCCTCGCAAACACTTACTCCTTGTTTATCTCCATATCAATATTAGTATATGTTAAAAATATATTTGCGTTTTAACCATTTCATACCGTCAAAGGGGATGCTGGAGATAAAATTTTTAAAATAGTTAGCTTGTTCATGACAATTTTGATGCACTGATAAACAAACATATCGCGACAAATCAAACACAGAAAATTTACACTTCGACTGTATAACCGGAATAACTGACTGACTAGGCGGCATTTTTTACACTTAGAGATTTTACAGATTGATTAGCTACATCATGGACGAAAAAGAAATATTTTAATGGTTAACTTACTAGGAAAGTGTTCTTCCAGATCTGGAGTAGATTTCCAGTCAGTCGACCTTTTGACTTTGTGCACCAGAAGAGGAAGCTCCGGAAAAACTTCCAGGAAATACTCTTTATAATTGCCTTGCTTTATATATTGTGATAGACGCGGAAGAGGCTTATTTTGCCATTGTTGGTCAACGTTTCGTATGAATCTTAAGCATCCTGCCCATGTAGACTCGTACTTTAGAGTTCCTATACTGTCGTTTACTTCAAAGTTGATCAAATCTTTGACGACTCTATCATCGATACGCTTCATCCATTCTGTGGAACCATACAACTGCGTATGAACAACTGAAGTGGGAGAATTTTGACCTTGTGAATGTTTCACCTCCAGTTGGTTACCCATATCACACAGCATGTTAAAATTCTCTTCGTCTGATTGTAGATAAGGGTGTTTTAACGCCTCATTGGCAGATGGTCTGTTTTCAGATTTTAGCTGTAGCATCCACGATAAAAGGTCTTTGAACGTGGCATCCTTGATTTCGTCCAATCCAACTGGGTTACCATTCAAAATGTTGTTCAGTCTATGCCGTTTATGTCCAAAAGGATGTTTTCCCTTTGTTGCAACATAATAAGCCACCATTCCTGCATTCTATTTTCAATAAAAAATTGTCGTAAACAGTCAGTGGTGGATACTAAAATCTTAAAGTTTAAATTTATTTGCAATTTGCAGAACTCAACAATAAATGTGCAGCTTAAAAAAATCTAAAAAATGTTCTCCAAATAGAATTGTAGCCATATATATGTATTAAAAGCAATCTAAATAAGGAACATACAATTGTAACTGTAACACAATTAACAAAAATTAATTTATTTTTATTTAAATTTATAGGTTGATACTATAAGACGATACAATGGAGGTAAAGAAAAAAATTGAGGTAAAATCATTATCACTACCAAATACCAATATTTAATTAAATGCAAATAAAACATTGAGCTGTAGTTAGACCTCTAGTTCTACTTCAAGAACTTACCATAATGTCAGACTCTTTTTTGTAACGAACTTTATTAATTGTATCATCTGATGGGTCATATGACTCTGGAGCTATCCAATTTTTAGCTCCCCTCTGTATGCTTTCATGTGTCAAAGTTTCATCAGATAACATATGACTTATTCCAAAATCAGCGATTAAAAAATTTCCTTGTACATCTCGAAGAACATTCGAGGGTCTTAAATCCCGATGAAGAATAGGACGCTGTCCACTGTGAAGGTGAGCTAGACCATTTAAGATTTGAATAAGAACTTTAGGAACGACTTTTTGAAGATCTTGCAAAGAAGAAGAATTCACATAACTCTCTAACGATTCTTCACACAAATCCAATATCATGTACAAATACTCTTCGTCAAGGCTCTTCTTTAAATCCCAAAAATTCACAACATAATTTGAACGCTTTGCATTCAACACATTAAAAATTTCTTTTTCTCGATTTGCATAGTCTTTGCCGCTATCTTTGTGTATTCGCTTTACTGCTTTTCCATAACCATTGTTTCCCAGGGCAAGGTAAACACGAGTTCCATCACTTCCCTTGCCAAGCAAAAACTCCTCCTTGAAGATTACACGCAATTCACTGAGCAGTGTAACTTTTTCTGGATGTTTGCGTCCATATTCCTCCATCTTTTTAAACTTTTTTTGATGTATTCTTGATTTATCAAAACATGTCCATGGTTGATGCAACAATTCTTGAACTTAAAGGAGAAGTACAAATCAGGAAAAATTAAAAAAGGACTGATAAATTCATCAATTCATAGTTTTATTTGTTTTGGCAATATCACATAACATATAACATTGCTGTCTTTTTTTCTGGAAGAGAAAACACGAATGTTTTTATTTTGATGTGGAAATAACGTGTACTCCGGTAGAAATGAGTTGGTCATCATACAATTCACGCACAATAATCGACATTCCACGATTAGTTCATTGCATGATTATACCAACCTTTAACTCAATAAAGCCAGTGGCGGATCTAGGGTACGTCAAAATAAATTGATGCAGCTCATGCTTGGATATATTTCCATTTCCAAATACATAGAGGCAAGTCCATTGATAAAGTTTAATTTTTTTGAATTTCAAATTCAATAGTTTTGGTTTGAATATATTTTGAATTTAAAATTGAGCGTCTATAATTCATTTTGACAAACGCTAGATCTGCTATACTAGATTGAGCAATTCTGCAATGGATAAAACGCACATCCTATTCACATTAACATACAATATGAAAATTAGTTTCTGAATGTTAAATAGTTATGACCAAAAATCCTCTTAAAATAAATTGAATTTTTTGAACCGGAGAAACAGAAGCGCTACAAGTGCTCCAGCAAACAATGCAAAAATATTTTAACGAAAGAGAGCATTTTTACGATTCACGAGAAAAATTGCTTTTGCAAACAAGTAAAAAACCCTATTATGTTCCGACGTTACCAAGGGAAAATGGATATAATTTAGCAATATCGTTAAAACTGAAGAATTATTTCTATGCTTGTAACTTACTAGGAATACCTTTTGCCATATCATTTAACCTCATGATTCTGTGCGCCAGAAGAGGAAGCTCTGGTAAAACCCGTACAAAATACTCTTTATAGTTGCCTTCCTTGATATATGGTGACAGTTTTGTACGATGCTCATCCTTCCATTGCTGGTAAACATTTTGTATAAATTTCAAGCAACCTAACCATGTAGTATCGTAGTGTCCCACATTGAAATCACTGAAGACTTCAGGATCAATACGACCCTTCCAATTTTTTAACCCATTTAACTGCTCATGGATATCTGAGCTGAGAGGATGATCTAAATGCGCTATCTTTATCTCCGGTTGATTTCCAACTTTACACAGCAAGTCAAACATTTCTTCATCAGATAGTAAATAAGGGTGTTTTAAAGCCTCCTTTGCAGATGGCCGGAGTTCGGGTTTATGTTGTAGCATCCATGAAAGAAGATCATTTAGTTCGACATTACTGATTTCCTTCAAGCCAACAGGTTTTCCATCCAACAAATTTTGAAGTATGAACACTTTAGTACCAAAAGGATGTTTTCCTTTTGTTGCAACAAAGTAAGCCACCATTCCTGCATTCTAAAATAAATTAATCATAACAGAGTGCGTAAAATGTAAAAATTAAATTTACGTACAATTTGCAAATAGTGACAACCCATTACCTACCATTACATCAGACTTTGTTTTGTAACGTCCTTTATCAAATAAATTTTTATCAACAATATAAGATTCAGGGGCAATCCAATGCGGAGTTCCCCTATTAGCATCGCTTACATATGTCTGAGAGTCATTCTTCAAAATTCGACTAATACCAAAATCGGATATTAAAAATTTGCCTTGTGTGTCTCGGAGAACATTGGAAGGTTTTAAATCTCGATGAAGAATGGGGCGTGGATCGCTGTGAAGATCAACTAAGCCGTTCAATATTTGCTTGAAAATGTTAGGAAGGGATTTTTGAAGATAATCTAAACTATTTGATTCGGATAGCACAAAACGCTCCAACGATTCTTCACATAGATCGAGAATCAAATAGACATATTCTGTTCTTATATCTTGTCTCGAGCAATAATAATTTAGCACATAATCCGACTTCTTAGCATTGATTTCATTAAAAATTTTTTCTTCATGCTGTGCCAAATAAGTATCACGAAGAATTCGTTTCACTGCTTTACCGTAACCATCCTTTCCCAGTCCAAGATAAACACGGGTTCCATCACTTCCTTTGCCAAGTAAAAAGTCTTCTGAGAAAATTACACGTACATCGTCCACATGTTTAACCTCAACATTAGGGTCTTTCCCATACTCAATTAATTTTAAAAACAATTCTTTATGTTTTGTCGATTTATCATTGTATTTCCATTCATGCAGCTGTAATTCTGAAATAGAAGTAAAAGTATTCCATTTATAGAGAGAGTAATATGTTGTAGCTGAATAGTCAAATAATAAATAAACAGCAGTGCTCGAGTTTCCCTATTGCACCAACGATTCAGATAGCAGATACAATTTGTAAAGAAAAACTTACAAAAACAACAAATAAACATATTACGACCACTTATTTAAACAATGAGTTCTGATAAGAATGGATCTAAAAAGCTCTTACACGGGAAATCTCACCCAGGTCTTTTACTCATATCATGAGGGCATTGTTTGGCAAAATGGAAAAACAAAAACTAAGACTAGTTTTTGTAATTAAACGAAAAGTTATTAGCTACTTTGCATAAACGTTAATATCGACAACTATCATTAGTACCAGACCGTACTAAAATCAATTTGACTTGAAAAAAAAAATACAAAGCGCAACAGATTCAAGTGAAGAGTTCTAGGTTTAAGTTGAATTCAACAATATAGCTTTTATTGATTTTCTCAAGAAAAATGTTATTCGAAAGAAGGATAAATCATTATTTGTTTGTCGCTTAGACATAAATAAAAAATCTTAACTTTTTTTGGCAAGTTTTAACTTTTGCCTATCGCTAACACTACGACACCTTTTGATAGTTTTCTCTATCTTGAAAAGTAATTCAACCTTCATAACGAATGAAAGTCACTCTAAAAAACCGACAAACGCTGTACATTTATCATGCAGGATATTATGATTAGTCAATACATCCCCAGACCTCCTAGATTGCTACTCACTCTTACATTCAGACCTTTCCACGAAGCTCGTAAAAACAGGACTAACCTAAACGACTCTTGCTAGTATAAAAAATAAAATGACTAGATGGACATCAGGAAGGCACCATATAAAATTCTCCAAACAAACATTTGTTGCTTATTTATCTATAGGATTGTTGAATATTTTATATTTTCTTATTTTCATGGAATTACTCTAATAAAAACCACATTCGGAAGGGGCGTTCACCAGAGGGAAACGCGTAAGTGAGGCTAGACGTGTATTAGAGGAATACGGCAACCCTTTTATATTAGAATAATCGACTTTTATTTACTGTTACAAAGTGGATTCTCATCAATTTAAATCATTTACCAATTCCTAAAATAATATATGCTAAGTCGTAGACAAGAGTTATATTTTCAGAGTGATTAACTTCCAGTGAGCATTAGTTTGTTGTAACTTTATTTACCGTCAAGATATACATTGTCCATGACCTCTTTGCTTTTCTTTCCACTAACTTCTTCAATTTTCACATGATCCACAGTATCTGAAAAATGTTCACAATGGTATTGTCACTATTATGTACAGCTTAAAGTGTAGAAAGTCGAGAGAGAAAAACATTATAGAGTGCTAAAAACACACTAAATAAAAATACAACCAAAAAAGAGAGTTGGCAGAGTAAGAAAACAATTTTTTTTATAGCAAAATTTGTTAATTTACCGAAAAAGATTGAGTGAGCATCAAAATTAAATCGGGGATATTAATATCATCATGGAAGCATAATTCAGTAATGTCTTTGAAAAAGGAAAACTATGTTTATGGCTTACAGGTGAAATGTTTCTTGAGATCAGGTCTTGTTTTCCAGTCAGTTGACCTTATGATTTTGTGCACCAGAAGAGGCAGTTCAGGAAAACGTCGCAAGAAATAATCTACATATTTCTCTTCCTTGACATAAGGCAACAGATGTGTACGAGGTTTATCGTTCCAATGCTCATTCACGTTTCTTATGAATCTTAAACACCTTGCCCATGTAGGCTCGTAAGTCAAAGTTTTCTTTTTGCCATTCTTTTCAAAAGTTGTGAAATCTTCTAATACTTCATCGTCGATAAGCTCCATCCATTTTGAATGACAATCCAACTGTTTACGAACATGTGAATTTTGACCTTTCGATAGTTTTATCTCTGGTTGGTTCCCAACATCACACAGCATGTCAAACTTCTCCTCATCGGATTGTAAATAAGGATGTTTTAACGCCTCATTGGCTGATGGCCTGTCTTCTGGTTTTAGTTGTAGCATCCATGAAAGAAGATCTCCAAGTTGAACGTCCTCGATATTCTTCAAGCCAACAGGGTTTCCATCTAACAAGTTTTTCAATCTATTCTCTTCAGGTCCAAAAGCATGTTCCGCTTTTGTTGCAACATAATAAGCCAACATTCCTGCGTTCTAAATCGATCAAACTGAATAGCGTGAATAAATTGTCAAGAATTTAATTTATGTGTCATTTACTAAAGGATACATTTCTACACCTACCATTACATCTGACTCTTTTTTGTAACGTGATGTATCAACTGAATCTTCATCTTTACAATATGATTCAGGAGCAATCCAATCCTGAGTTCCCTTTTTAGAGCTAGTATGATATGTCTTAAGGCCACCCTTCAATTTTCGACTTATACCAAAGTCAGCAATCAGAAATTTACCATGTGCGTCTCGGAGAACATTGGAAGGCTTTAAATCCCGATGAAGAATAGGACATGGGCCGCAGTGAAGATCAGCTAATCCTTTTAACACTTGTCTGAGAATTTCGGGAAGAGATTTTTGAAGATCCTGCAATGTAGAAGATGCCACAAACCTCTCCAACGATTCCTCACATAGGTCTAGTATCAAATAGACATAGTCTGATTCAGTGTCCTCTTCTAAGTAGTAATATTTCACAACAAATTTCGACTCCTTTGCGTTGAATTCTCTCAAGATTTCCTTTTCTTTCTTGGCAATCGTGATGCAGTTATCTCGACGTATTCGTTTTACTGCTTTGCCGTAACCATCCTTTTTCAGTCCCAGATAAACACGGGTTCCATCACTTCCTCTACCGATGCAAAACTCGTCAGAGATTATCACAAGTACATTGTCTACATGCTTGACCTCGACATTGGGATTTCGTCCATACTTAATCAATTTTAAGAACAATTCTTTATGTATAACAGATTCACCAATGAATTCCCACTCTGATGACAACAATTCATAAAATGATAAAAGTATAAAATTAAGGTTAAGTAAAACGGAAACAATCAATGAACAGATTACTAAAAATCTATCTCATTAGTGCAAACTCTCTACCTTTTTCGTTCTTTTTCTTAATGATTTCTTGTAACTTGGCTTCCATCGAATTTCTTAAGTAATAACGCTCTTCTTCATCGTATACTTGCACCAGACGCTCCATGACGTTCTTTTGTTTATCTATATCTTCATCTTTTGTGATCATATCCAGATATGTTTCATATACAAATGCTGCATCTCCCCATTGCTCAAGTTTATCAAACAATTCCGCTAATTCCCATAAAACAGCTAACACTCCATTCACAATTCCAGCTGAAGTAACAATTGACAAGTTCTTCATGTTAAGGTTGACGAAATCTTTACTAACGTTGATACCACCAACTTTTCTTGGTCGTCGCGGTCGATGATGCTGTTCATGTTGTTGCTGTTGAGATTCAATAATAAGAGAGAATCCTTTTCTATAATGCTCCAAAGATTGCTCATAATTTTCAAGCAACTTATTCAATCCTCCCAATGCAATATGGCAGAGACATTCCATTTCATCTTTCTTCATGGCTTCCTCCAATCTTTTCATGGTAGAATGAACACTCCCCAGGCCAAGGTATACTTGATGTTCAAAATATTCACTTTCAACTTTAGACGAAAACTTTAAGTAATGATTAAAACTGTTCAATCCTTCCTCCCAATTATCAGAGAGGGTGTAAGCGTTACCAAGACCAAAATAAACCATCATTTTCACGTTATCCTTGTCGGCATTTTCCAAACATCTTTTGTAGTTTTCAATTGCTGTTCCATAATCACCATTATTCATACTTAAATTTCCTTCTTCAAAAAATGACATAGCTTCTGCTTGACTGCTGTATGAGTTTGATTTCTTATTATAATAATGCACAGATTTATCAGAGCTCTCAGTTGTTGGTTCCATATTGCTTCTACTTGCCTCTGTAGAAATTTCCATCTCTGTTGTCTAGTTAAATTTGGGAAATTTACCTGTTAAATTTGACTATTAATATCAATTATTAGTTAGATGTTAAAAGCAAATCATCCTTACAACATTAAAATATATTTGCATGCGCCAAATATCAAAGATTTACTAGCCAATACAATTCTTTCTAATCTTTTGCATACGTAGCGGAACCAAAAAGGTAGTGCATGTTTGTAAGTCGTGAGCGCCCGTTCCTCTACAGATTGCATTACAATTTCAGGAACTACAACAGAAACGGGTGAGCCCATTGCTGTTCTATGTAATTGTTTGTAGTGTGTACCTTTGTACTGGAAGTAAGTCGAGGTAAGGCAGAGCTCCAGTAGGTCCATAATGTCTTCTGTCGGTAATGGCAGTACGTCCGTGGTGTTTGTAATGAGAGTTTTTGTACAAGTAAGTGCCAGATTAAGAGGAATACTGGTGAACAGTTTATTTCACATCAAAAGGCACTAGTAAATAGTATAATCTGGACGATATACGTCTACAAACATGTAACGATACTCCCGGGTTCAAACCATTTACTTTATTGACTATTATTATCAATTATTAGTTAGATCTTAAAAGCAAATTCTTCCTTGTAACATTAAAATATATTTACATGCGCCAAATATCAAAGATATACTGGCCAATACAATTCTTTCTAATCTTTTGCACACAGAAATTTCTCAAAATTTGTGGTTACTCTGCAAATTTGCACAAATATCAGTAAAATAGGTTTAATGCACTACATACAATACTCAAAAAAGGCGTTTCAACTTCAATGACCATTTAAAACGACTTATTTCCTTCAAACATTTGCTTATCTTTATTTATTTTATTCTGTATGTAAACTATTCCAGAACCTTCAAAATTTGATAAATATACCATCTTTGATTTAACACTTTTAATTTTTTGACGAATCATATTAATTGATAAACTAAATGCAAAGTAAATTACTGTTCACTAAACCAAACTTCTGAATCAACTAATACAAAATATTTGGTCCAATTTAATAGCAGTGTAAAATCAGCGTGAAAAGAATTGCTTGCGTGTCAACTTCCGCCCACCAGTATATATTTATACTGTCGCCTTCAGCTTTAACCTTAGAAAGTATGAATGAGATCGACCCAAGCAGAAACGTTAATAATCTAAACTTGTAAATAACCATGTTCTTAGATTTCCATAGACACATAACTTTATTAATGATGGTAATATCAGCGAAAACCTTAAAGTCTATAGAAACGTTTTACTCTGTATGTTTATCGCTTCCACATTTCTTCTGATTTTGCTACGTTTTCTACGTTTGCTACGATTATCGCTACGTTTTTGGAGGAAAATATCTCCACCGCTAATAATGTAGATAGTTCGAAGATTGAAGGCAACTACGACATATAGAAAGTATGTAACTCAGTAACATCTTGACGGGTAGCTAGCACTTAATAGTCTAGTGTATAAAATACAATACAACTTAAAATGAAAAACTTACAATCAATTTGACGATCTTTGAGTGTTTAACAAGTTGACAAACTTTGATATTGTCGTCGTTTTTGTACGCCTCAGATTATAACCATCAAACTGTGTCGAATACCTGTTTGGCAATATGGTCTATTTGAAAAGATCACAGCAGGAAGTACACTGATAAAAAGATTTTTTGAGTATTATCTCAGCGCGCTGCGTAGTGTGAAGAAATATATGGAAAATTTACAAGTATTATATTTGGAATAGAAAAAACTAGAATCCTGATGCAAAAAAAGCTTAATATATCTTATATGAGATGTTTTCAAACTTTGTTTAGAACGCAGGAACACAAAACAGAAGAGAAAATTTTCTCATACATTTCAACAGTAAGAATCATTAGTTCGTTATAAGTTATAACATACTTTCAACATATTGAAGACGCTGTATTTTTTAGTTACTTTAACTGCATGTAGCTAGAGTGCTCAGTTCCTAATTTTTAGAACGAATAAATGCTTTCAAATATTATGCTATTTCAATAATTTCACTGTTGTTAGCAGAACAAGGAAGGTGTGTTATGTCTGCAGCAATTCTGACTAACTTTGTAATCTTTTCTATCAATTTTACTATTTGTTGTTTATTTTATGAAAGTTTAATTATAAAATGGTACATTAGGTTAACCAGAAACTCCAACTCTTGCTGCAATAAAAAAAACGTTTACAAATAATTGCTGCAAGCAAAGCAGAGAGCTTCTATATTCTTATGTGTGTACGATATCAAGATTTTTATGGGATGTACAACCAGCAAAATGCAGCAAAGCAGAGAGCTTCTATATTCTTATGTGTGTACGATATCAAGATTTTTATGGGATGTACAACCATCAAAATGCAAGCAAAGCAGAGAGCTTCTATATTCTTATGTGTGTACGATATCAAGATTTTTATGGTATGTACAACCATCAAAATGCAAGCAAAGCAGAGAGCTTCTATATTCTTATGTGTGTACGATATCAAGATTTTTATGGGATGTACAACCATCAAAATGCAAGCAAAGCAGAGAGCTTCTATATTCTTATGTGTGTACGATATCAAGATTTTTATGGTATGTACAACCATCAAAATATTATGAACGACGTCATGTTAAATTTTGCACCATTCATCAAGGTGATGAAATGTACAGATGATATGTACAGGCACTTCGTTTCTATTAGACATTTTTAGTTGATAAAAAAGAAATTTTGACCAGTATTGTAACATATCAAACGAAACAGACTAACCAACGATAAGGCAAATAAAAAACCTCTTCAGACTATGCATTTCATTGATCAAATTCAAACATATCTAACAGTTTTTTTTAACAATGGTACTTAGAAAAAGAAAAAATACATGCTAAGTACTTTAAACATAGCAGCTGGTTAGTATCTGGTTTTTATAGGAAATGAATAGTGACAAAGGATCTTTTACAGTTACTTGCTTAAAACCTGTAAAATATTTAATAAAAATTAATAGCACAAACAAAACGTAATAGTTTTTTAGTAATTACTATACACTTACAAGCGTTGGTCGGTGGTCTACTGATTTCAAATGGCAGTACTAACCAGTAAAAGTCGTACTAAGTATTAAAATGCCAATAAGAAGCAGGCACCGGAATATTATGCGATAGAAGCGTAGTCTATTTCAAGTATTTATATAGGTTGTCCTGCTCATTTCAAAGGGCAGGAGTGAACATGACAAGCGTGCGATAACAGTAATAGTTCCAGAAACGCTAGTCAAGTGAGAGAGGAAGGGCATTAAAAACATTTAGTAGCTGAGAGACTCACAATTTTTGAAATCGTCTTTTAAAACTGCTGAAAATGAATGAATAGAGTTGGACATTAAAATAGGTGAGAATGGATGATACCAGTGTTAGCTTTTAACTTTGGTAGTTGGTTGGCGGTAAAATTGCTTGTGACACAAACCACAAAAATACAAATTTAGAACTCTTACAATGGTAGAAAATTAAAAATGCACTTTTTGATGTCAACTACGACTCCTATATGATTATTATAGCGATAAAACATTCATTTTAGAGAAAAGTATGAGTAAATACGATATATAGCAACAATTAAAAAAAAACTGATCTAAGTTACACAATTGGAGCATAGCAACTTGCTAAAAAATATTACGCTTTCTTCACGTTTCAAAAACTTTACAGTTTTTTTGGTATTTCATGTGCTTTGTCACTACAGTGTAGACACTCACGTATGTTTTGTTTTGTCACTACAGTGTAGACACTCACGTATGTTTTGTTTTGTCACTACAGTGTAGACACTCACGTATGTTCTGTTTTGTCACTACAGTGTAGACACTTACGTATGTTCTGTTTTGTCACTACAGTGTAGACACTCACGTATGTTCTGTTTTGTCACTACAGTGTAGACACTCACGTATGTTCTGTTTTGTTACTACAGTGTAGACACTCACGTATGTTCTGTTTTGTCACTACAGTGTAGACACTCACGTATGTTCTGTTTTGTCACTACAGTGTAGACACTCACGTATGTTCTGTTTTGTCACTACAGTGTAGACACTCACGTATGTTCTGTTTTGTCACTACAGTGTAGACACTCACGTATGTTCTGTTTTGTCACTACAGTGTAGACACTCACGTATGTTCTGTTTTGTCACTACAGTGTAGACACTCACGTATGTTCTGTTTTGTCACTACAGTGTAGACACTCACGTATGTTCTGTTTTGTCACTACAGTGTAGACACTCACGTATGTTCTGTTTTGTCACTACAGTGTAGACACTCACGTATGTTCTGTTTTGTCACTACAGTGTAGACACTCACGTATGTTCTGTTTTGTCACTACAGTGTAGACACTCACGTATGTTCTGTTTTGTCACTACAGTGTAGACACTCACGTATGTTCTGTTTTGTCACTACAGTGTAGACACTCACGTATGTTCTGTTTTGTCACTACAGTGTAGACACTCACGTATGTTCTGTTTTGTCACTACAGTGTAGACACTCACGTATGTTCTGTTTTGTCACTACAGTGTAGACACTCACGTATGTTCTGTTTTGTCACTACAGTGTAGACACTCACGTATGTTCTGTTTTGTCACTACAGTGTAGACACTCACGTATGTTCTGTTTTGTCACTACAGTGAGACACTCACGTATGTTCTGTTTTGTCACTACAGTGTAGACACTCACGTATGTTCTGTTTTGTCACTACAGTGTAGACACTCACGTATGTTCTGTTTTGTCACTACAGTGTAGACACTCACGTATGTTCTGTTTTGTCACTACAGTGTAGACACTCACGTATGTTCTGTTTTGTCACTACAGTGTAGACACTCACGTATGTTCTGTTTTGTCACTACAGTGTAGACACTCACGTATGTTCTGTTTTGTCACTACAGTGTAGACACTCACGTATGTTCTGTTTTGTCACTACAGTGTAGACACTCACGTATGTTCTGTTTTGTCACTACAGTGTAGACACTCACGTATGTTCTGTTTTGTCACTACAGTGTAGACACTCACGTATGTTCTGTTTTGTCACTACAGTGTAGACACTCACGTATGTTCTGTTTTGTCACTACAGTGTAGACACTCACGTATGTTTGTTTTGTCACTACAGTGTAGACACTCACGTATGTTCTGTTTTGTCACTACAGTGTAGACACTCACGTATGTTCTGTTTTGTCACTACAGTGTAGACACTCACGTATGTTCTGTTTTGTTACTACAGTGTAGACACTCACGTATGTTCTGTTTTGTCACTACAGTGTAGACACTCACGTATGTTCTGTTTTGTCACTACAGTGTAGACACTCACGTATGTTCTGTTTTGTCACTACAGTGTAGACACTCACGTATGTTCTGTTTTGTCACTACAGTGTAGACACTCACGTATGTTCTGTTTTGTCACTACAGTGTAGACACTCACGTATGTTCTGTTTTGTCACTACAGTGTAGACACTCACGTATGTTCTGTTTTGTCACTACAGTGTAGACACTCACGTATGTTCTGTTTTGTCACTACAGTGTAGACACTCACGTATGTTCTGTTTTGTCACTACAGTGTAGACACTCACGTATGTTCTGTTTTTCACTACAGTGTAGACACTCACGTATGTTCTGTTTTGTCACTACAGTGTAGACACTCACGTATGTTCTGTTTTGTCACTACAGTGTAGACACTCACGTATGTTCTGTTTTGTCACTACAGTGTAGACACTCACGTATGTTCTGTTTTGTCACTACAGTGTAGACACTCACGTATGTTCTGTTTTGTCACTACAGTGTAGACACTCACGTATGTTCTGTTTTGTCACTACAGTGTAGACACTCACGTATGTTCTGTTTTGTCACTACAGTGTAGACACTCACGTATGTTCTGTTTTGTCACTACAGTGTAGACACTCACGTATGTTCTGTTTTGTCACTACAGTGTAGACACTCACGTATGTTCTGTTTTGTCACTACAGTGTAGACACTCACGTATGTTCTGTTTTGTCACTACAGTGTAGACACTCACGTATGTTCTGTTTTGTCACTACAGTGTAGACACTCACGTATGTTTTGTTTTGTCACTACAGTGTAGACACTCACGTATGTTCTGTTTTGTCACTACAGTGTAGACACTCACGTATGTTCTGTTTTGTCACTACAGTGTAGACACTCACGTATGTTCTGTTTTGTCACTACAGTGTAGACACTCACGTATGTTCTGTTTTGTCACTACAGTGTAGACACTCACGTATGTTCTGTTTTGTCACTACAGTGTAGACACTCACGTATGTTCTGTTTTGTCACTACAGTGTAGACACTCACGTATGTTCTGTTTTGTCACTACAGTGTAGACACTCACGTATGTTCTGTTTTGTCACTACAGTGTAGACACTCACGTATGTTCTGTTTTGTCACTACAGTGTAGACACTCACGTATGTTCTGTTTTGTCACTACAGTGTAGACACTCACGTATGTTCTGTTTTGTCACTACAGTGTAGACACTCACGTATGTTCTGTTTTGTCACTACAGTGTAGACACTCACGTATGTTCTGTTTTGTCACTACAGTGTAGACACTCACGTATGTTCTGTTTTGTCACTACAGTGTAGACACTCACGTATGTTCT